TTTGCCGCTTTCGAATCGAATACCTGGATGCGGCTGGATGCCCTTCTTTTATTCCCGCGGCGCGGGTTTCGACTTCGATGTGTCCCCACGCGGCGTCGCCGTGCGCTCGTTGGCTCGTTGGTATGCGGGATGTGCGCGCCGTAACGGGGTATGAGGGGGCGACAGGGTGGCAGCTCCCTTCGCTGTCCATAACACAAACTATTGAAAATAATTTTATTGCTTGACACTGGCATAAGAACAATAGTAAGAGATAAGAGTCCATTACAAAAAACAAGTTATATAGGCATATTGAATAAGTAAGGGTGTGTTATGTTGTATTGTGGCAGGAGTACGTGGAGAGCGCTCTGTGCAGCGTGCTGGAGATGCTGGAGCGCGCGCTGGCGCTGGAGCGTGCGCTGTCCGCTGCCGCCGCTGCAGCTCACGCCGGCCGAGCCGTGCTCATCGTCGGACTCTCCAAGCTGCTGCTCGGTAACACTTCCCTTTCATCTCGCACCCACGTATTAACATTGTGTTCTCTTTATTAGTATATAACACGTGTATGTGTGTGAGTGTGCGTGTGCGTGTGCGGGTGCGTGCGTGCGTACGCGTGTGTACGTTTTTGTTATTTTTTATACCTTATGTGGTCGTTGCAGCGCCGGAGGGGCCGGACAACTGCGACCGGCTGGTGGCGTGCTGCCGCGTGGTGGGGCGCAGCTCGCTGCCCGGCGCAGCGCGGCGCGCGGTCTCGCTGCTGCGTCGCGCGCTGCTCGCGCCGCACGCCGCGCGCCACCTGCTGGCCGCCGTCGCGCACCGCCGCGCGCTCGCCGCCGACCTCAGGTATGGAGCACTGCCGCGTGTCACTGCCGCGTGTCACTGCCGCGTGTCACTGCTGCGTCGCGCGCTGCTCGCGCCGCACGCCGCGCGCCACCTGCTGGCCGCCGTCGCGCACCGCCGCGCGCTCGCCGCCGACCTCAGGTATGGAGCACTGCCGCGTGTCACTGCCGCGTGTCACTGCCGCGTGTCACTGCTGCGTCGCGCGCTGCTCGCGCCGCACGCCGCGCGCCACCTGCTGGCCGCCGTCGCGCACCGCCGCGCGCTCGCCGCCGACCTCAGGTATGGAGCACTGCCGCGTGTCACTGCCGCGTGTCACTGCCGCGTGTCACTGCTGCGTCGCGCGCTGCTCGCGCCGCACGCCGCGCGCCACCTGCTGGCCGCCGTCGCGCACCGCCGCGCGCTCGCCGCCGACCTCAGGTATGGAGCACTGCCGCGTGTCACTGCCGCGTGTCACTGCCGCGTGTCACTGCTGCGTCGCGCGCTGCTCGCGCCGCACGCCGCGCGCCACCTGCTGGCCGCCGTCGCGCACCGCCGCGCGCTCGCCGCCGACCTCAGGTATGGAGCACTGCCGCGTGTCACTGCCGCGTGTCACTGCCGCGTGTCACTGCTGCGTCGCGCGCTGCTCGCGCCGCACGCCGCGCGCCACCTGCTGGCCGCCGTCGCGCACCGCCGCGCGCTCGCCGCCGACCTCAGGTATGGAGCACTGCCGCGTGTCACTGCCGCGTGTCACTGCCGCGTGTCACTGCTGCGTCGCGCGCTGCTCGCGCCGCACGCCGCGCGCCACCTGCTGGCCGCCGTCGCGCACCGCCGCGCGCTCGCCGCCGACCTCAGGTATGGAGCACTGCCGCGTGTCACTGCCGCGTGTCACTGCCGCGTGTCACTGCTGCGTGTCACTGCTGCGTGTCATTGCTGCGTCGCGCGCTGCACTGCCACATTCGCGCGCTCGTCGCGAACCTTATGTATACTGCGTCACACTGCTGCGTCGCACTGCTGCGTCGAACTGCTGCGGTGCACCACCGCTACGTCTTAATGATGCGTCTCAATGCGGCATCTCAATGATGCGTCTCAATGCGGCATCTCAATGATGCGTCTCAATGCGGCATCTCAATGATGCGTCTCAATGCGGCATCTCAATGATGCGTCTCAATGCGGCATCTCAATGATGCGTCTCATTGCTCCGTCTCAATACTGTGTCTCAATGCTGCATCTCATTGATGCGTCTCATTGCTCCGTCTCATTACTGCGTCTCAATACTACGTCTCCATACTATGTCTCAATCAATGCTGCGTTTCACTGGCTTCCTGTTGCAACGCGCAGTGCTGGCATCACGCACTGGCTAATTTTAATTGACATTACCTCAAATGCTACAAAAGTGACATTAATAAAGAAAGTACAAACGAAGTAACTTTTAGAAAGTGCACGTGAAAAAACTTCAAAGAAGTACAATTTTAAATGTGAACAAAATGTGTAACTTGAATTTCAATGGCCATAGGTTAAGAAGTTATTTTTTTCTCGAGTTCTCGATTTATTGTTTTAATTAAAGTGATATTATTTTTTTTTAAATTTTTTCTTCTTAAAATCCAATCCATGTAAATGTTATATTACTGATTGGTATGCTTTACAACCAGACACGGGTTTGTGGAGTGCCTGGAGGCGGACGAGTGGTCGACGGGCAACGTGGGCAGCATCGACGAGGGCGAGAAGCAGGCGGAGGAGGAGGGGCGCGCCGCCAAGGAGGGCGTGGTGCTGCTGCTACTGCAGCTGCTGCCTGCCGCGCCGCCCAACTTCGCGCACTTCCTGCTGGGCTACCAGCTGCACGACGACGTACGCACCCATTTTGTTCACATTATATTAAGCTTTGCCAGTCGTGCCAGCCTAAGAGAATAAATCAGCCCGTTATTAGCCAGAACAGCCTGTGGGTGTCTATCTTGTTTACGTCACGGATAAAATCTGGCATTGCAGTTGTTGATCTATCTGCTAAACGTGATAATTAAGGCTAATGAACCCCATACAATGGGAGAGGCCTATGTCTGTATATCATTGGATTTTACGAGCTGATAAAAAAAGGAAGAAGAATAATGTAATGTAATGTAGTGTAAGTTTATAACTGAAAAATTAAATAATGTTCTTTACCCTTGAGTAACTTGATGTGACATCTTATCGTAGATTGTCATATTATTGGAACGAAGTTCCTTATCGGACGGTACGGGTATGGCGGATGAGAGCTAGGCGATAAAAAGTGTAAGATTTTTTTCGTCACTACCCCTTGTGTCATAGTGTATTTTATTTTAAATGACGTTTCATTTTAACAGACGCTAATAATTAATTAATTTATATTTGTTAATGAATAATAATATACTATGAAAGGAACTTCGTTCCAACCGAGTGTTCCACGACATTCACGCATGTTTTTATTATTTTAATGGAATGTTTTCGGAAAGAAAAATAAAGAAAAAAAGGAGAATGTAAGCTATTTTCTAATTAACTAAAAAATGAAAAATATTCAGTGAGGGTAGTTGAATAATTAGTATGCGGTGTCTGTGTGCAGGTGTCGCGCAGCACGCTGCACGAGGCGGGCGCGGCGGGCGCACCGCGCACTGCGCTGCACGCCGTGCTCGACATACTCGACGCGCACATCGCCCCGCACGCGCCCGAACGGTACCAAACATTTGTTTTATTGTTCTAAGCCATCGCCTGACTCCTATCCCAACTGATGGTAAATGATGCTTATTTTTTCACATATTTTGCTAATACAGATGAATCATAATTGGTTGCAGTAAGGGTTATTTTATTTTTGATGCTTGCTTTTAAATTGTTATACAATAATTTCGTTTTTCTTTTTTCGTATTTAATTGTATCGCCTGATTGCAGCAGCTCATGCTGAAAAAGATCGCTGTACAATCACAAATATTCGAATTTGATGATGATGATTTGATGCTTGACAAGCTAAAATATTATTATTTTTTTATAATCACACATTTATATTATGACAATTTAAAATATGACAAGCTAAAATATTATTATTTTTTTATAATCACACATATATATCTTGTTTCGCTAAAAGTAAGTGGGATTTATATATAAATATATATATTTATATATAAATCCCACTTTTATTTATATATTTATATATATATAAATGCCTATTCACCTTGTATTTTATGGAGTTATCTGAAAGCTTACTTCGGTGACTGCTAACGGAACTCCTCGACGAGTAGAACTAGGTAGGTTTGGGCTCGTTATGTTAGTTATGATGAGACCTTACCTAACAAAACGAGGCTAAACTCGGCACGCCTAGTTCTACTCGTCCAAGAGTTCCAGTAGCAGTTACCGAAGTATACCTTCAAATCTATATATCTAACAAAACTAGCCCAAAGTCTACAGCCAACATCTCACTGCTAGTAGGGGCTTTCTACTGCCTGGCAGTCTGGTGTTTTGTATTTCGTATTTAAGTAAAATTAAATCTTTCAAATTATCAAAATGTTTTTACTTGATTACGATTCCTGCAGCTAACCGTGCGTACACACTTGTGTGTGTGACCTATGTCAATGTTATAGTTAGATTTTATATCTGTCAATTTTGCAAACGCGTCCTTAATAAATTGCGCACTAAGTTACGCTCAGTTTTCCGTAGCTTAAGTCGACTACGAGAATGCGAGAATACAAGTTCTTTGTTTTGTAAAGCGCAAACTGTGTGATGGGTATGTTTGTGATATGAGAGATTCCATGAAGTTAGTAAATACAGTGGCTTTTTTTTTATAAAACTGAAGTTACAAATTAACTTAGAGTATATTTGATAGTAAGTTGTTATTGCAATTGTAATATAGGCAATATCTTGAAGGAGACGTGTTGCTCAGTTGAATACTTTAAATATACTGCTTCTTTTATTCAGTTTCAATTAATATTAATATATATTCAAACAAAGAAGACTACAGATACGTTGTCATTTTTGAGGATTAACATGATGTGCCTTACGGCCGGTAATTGGCCAGGCTCTCTATACCCATCAGAACAGAACGCAGCAGTGCAAACACAGCTATTTGGCGATAGAGGGTTTTGCCTGTCCAGATGGATTCACAAGGAGTCCTAGCACCTGGTAATTCATGCTACGAATATGCGAACAAAAAATTTGGCACTTCGTGGCAGCGTATTGGATAGTGATAAGTGGTGATATAGTGTTAATATTGGATGTGCGGGTGCGTGGGCAGCGAGGCGAGCGCGCTGGTGGAGAGCTGCTACCGGCTGGTGTACTGGCTGTGCGCGCGCGCCGCCACCGCGCCGCCCGCGCTGCGCTTCCTGCGCTCGCGCGACTACTTCCTGCCGCGCCACGCCAAGGCCACCGTCAACCTCGAGGTCTACACCCTACCTTGGCATTTGTTATTTTTTATACCGTCAAACCTGACAACTTTGCCATTTTTGAAAGGATTTGAAAGCTTAGGACCAATTTAAAAAAAATGTAGTCAGACTGGGCGTCAGTGTTAAATGTGACATTATACTCTTGATAGATTTGGTATTTTTTTGTGATTTAAACAAATAGTAACATTAAATAGACAAAATACTCAAAAATAGAAAATGGCAAAGTTAATCTAAAGAAGATATAAGATATAAGATTTGACTTAAAGGTTGAAGGTAAGTTTACCTTATAATATAATACAGAACAATCAGTTATGTTATATTTAATTGTATTGTAAATAGTAAAATTTACTCTTGTGGCAAAGTTCCCATTTTTCAATATTTCATACAAACTTGAAAATATGTGTCAATTTTGTCAAAAATCCTTGATTTCTTACTTAACTTATTTTTTTTTAACTTTAACCTTGTCACAATAATTTCTTAAGTAAAAATCTAAAATATACTAGACTTTTAGCAGGCATTTGATTACATCTCTAATATCTGCGTAACAAAAATGCCAGTTAAATCATTTATGGCGAATCCGACTCGAATGACCATTGGTTTGAAAGTTTTTATTAATATAGTAAACAGTTTAATTTGCTTATTGCTTAATGTTATAAAATGTTCTAGTACTTGCAAGTACTGACAAAATTGTGATTGTTATTTTTTTTTGGTTATGTTTCATGGACGCGTTATAAATTCATACATTTGTAAAAGATTTGAACTGGCTGCCTGTAAAAACATAAGTCTTACATGATCTAATTTTTTAATTCCTCTCAACTGTTAAATTGGCAAACAACAAAACACTATATTTGTTGCAATCATATGGAATTATTATAAAGTAGTATTTAGTGATGAACATTTGTGAGTCCTTCTCTTTCCTCACAAGGATTAACTTCTTTTTAAGATTATTAGAGATTAGTATGGGGAATGATTGTTCGTTGTAGAGGTCGATGACAAATTATAAAGCACGTCAAACGATTTCATTGCACTGTTCTGCTGGTTAATAATGTTTATAATTTATTTTTAAATTTACTTTTTAAATTCCTGAAAGGTCTACTGCTAAGTATTAGCCTGTTCCGTTGTATAGAAGATTTGCTTTAATTGTCATGTTTGGCCTGATTGCTGATAATCATGTACATTAACAATCCGTTTAGTGGCGTTGTAAATGAATCTACTCACCTATGTCATCTTTTTTTTATAAAATAAGGGTGACAAACGAGCACACAGTCCACCTGATGGTAAGTGGTTGCTGTGGTCCATAGATATCTACATCTGTCCTCGATTACAAATCAAAATGCAGATGCGTTGTCAGTCGTGAGGACTAAGATAGAATGCCTCTGTTCCAGTAAGAAGGGTCTCCGGTTCTCTACACTCACCATACGAAACACAGCAGCATTAAGCTGCTATTTTGTGAGAGCGTGGTCCTTCCTCGGTCGAGCCGACCCATTCGTGCTACAACTATACTATTAATATAACTGCAGCATCTGGTGTTATAAGAAGCGATAGAGGGAAACTTAAACGGGTAGATGGGTACTCGTAGCAGCATCTTCTTGATAATAGCTTAAAAAAGTATAACTACAAAAAAATGGAGGTTGCTAACCCCTCTGCTAAGTGTGACTACTATGGCCAAATCATCCAAATAAGGCAATGTATGAGTTTCGCGTTCAGTGGTCTGGACATTTGTTAGGCTGTAATGAATTAATGAATGATTGAATGAATGAACGAACGAATGAATGAAAGGATGAATGTTAGAAGATGCGTAACGTGAGGATGACATGAAGGTTGTGTGTGCAGACGGCGTCGGTGACGACGCTGTCGGCGCGGTCGTGGGTGCTGCGCGCGTGCGCGTGCGAGGCGGGCGCGGCCGGCGGCGCGCGCCAGCACGCCGCGCTCGCCGCGCTGCTCGCCGCGCTCACGCGCACCGCGCACCGCCCCGACCAGGTACGCACGCACGCACACACGCACACATTATTTATACTCATAACTTGTACTTTATATTTCATTTTCAGTTCCTTCTGACTTCTTTATTTCATACGTGAATGAAATATATAAAATTGTTACGAGACAAAATATAAACAAATAACTTTTAAAAACAGCGTAATTACTTACCTTTCATATATAAAAAAAACTAGTCAACAAACTGTTTTGTACCTACTTAATTTTTTTTAATTGAAGTTGCTTCTTGCACTCACTCGGCGAAGGAAATAGACTTAAGTATATGAAGTAAGCGGGACGGCAAAGGCGCAAACTCTTCATTTTAAGTACATTCTTTTAATTTAGAGAAGCGTAATTTAGTAACAAATCTAATACCATACAATAACTTTTTTTAACAAAACTAATTCTAATAAAATTTTTAGAATTTTAGTTGTTTAATTCTTATAAATAACTCTCTTCATCGCACTCTTATCTATTGTTATGAGTAAACGTAGTGGTTATATACTCTTTGGTTCTGAGGGGTCCCTTCTAAATATTACTTGTGGCGGCGCTGTCGAAGCGCCACAAACGAAAAACATCGAAGCCTAAATCGCGCAAATAAAATGTTCCGAAGTAACTTTGTTTAAAGAAAGTTTAAGAAAGCAGTATAAATAAAATAGCTCCGAACTACCAAATGGAGCGTTGGCCGTTCCCCGGGCAGAACACCTTGCCCGGCGGGAGATTTTTTTTTATAGGATAAGGGTGACAAGATCTCCCTTTTTCCTTCTACCGTCCACATACTATACTCTTTGGCAGGGATTACAAAATTATCACTGAGGACCGGTGGGACTGGACAAATTAAAATTAAGAAAACGTAATCAAAATGATAGTCACTTTAAAGTACATTGCTTCAGACACCTGCTGGTCGTCGTCATCGCGTGTATAGTTTTGTAAGATACAATTGGATGTTTCTAAGCGTCAATGACATACTCAAATCTTCCTCCCATTGAGACGCCACTTTTATGGAAGCACTCGCCACTTGTGCACAGGAGTGGGAGTGGTGCGTGATACGGCGCGCGCTGGAGGGTGTGCCGGTGAGCGTGAGCGCGCCGCCCGAGCCGCGCTGGGAGCTGTTCCACGCGCACCAGCTGCGCGCCGCCATCGCCGACTGCGACCTGCCCACAGGTACGTGTGCGCACCGTGCACCGCACTGCAGTGTAGTGCAGTACGTTGCAGTGCAGTGCAGTGCAGTGCAGTGCGCCCGAGCCGCGCTGGGAGCTGTTCCACGCGCACCAGCTGCGCGCCGCCATCGCCGACTGCGACCTGCCCACAGGTACGTGTGCGCACCGTGCACCGCACTGCAGTGTAGTGCAGTACGTTGCAGTGCAGTGCAGTGCAGTGCAGTGCGCCCGAGCCGCGCTGGGAGCTGTTCCACGCGCACCAGCTGCGCGCCGCCATCGCCGACTGCGACCTGCCCACAGGTACGTGTGCGCACCGTTTTTTAGAGGGGGCAAACGAGCATGCGGCTCACCTGATGGTAAGTGACTACCGCCGCCCATGAACAACCGCAACACCAGGGGAATTGCAGATGCGTTGCCGGCCTTTTAAAAAGGAGTAGGCTCTTTTCTTGAAGGTCCCTAAGTCGTATCGGTCCGGAAAAATCGCCGGTGGTAATCGATTCCACAAGGAAGTTGTGCAAGGAAGAAAACATCTTCTAAATCGCACAGTGGTGGACCGCCAGTCATCCAAATGATGTGGATGGTATCGCAAGTTTTGTCGCGATGTGCGATGATGAAATTGAGCGGCTGGAATTAGTCCGAACAAACTTGAAATACTGTCTCGCTCTGCTGAGCACGCCAAACTTTTTAGAGGCTAGTTTGGCCTTCCCTTCCAAGTGACCACCACCAGTGAGGCAGCAAGGGGAGTGCCTTGAAACTGAAGAGATACGACAAAGGGGTTTTTTAGCGGTAAACGCGCAAACTTGTGTCTTCTGGGGATTGAACTGGACTAGATTTAGTCGCCCCCAATCCGAGACTGTTCAGCAAAGACTCGACTTCAGACACAAGTTTGTCCCGGTACTCGGCGACGTTTTCGAGAAATATTGGCACGGCCAGTATATAAGGCATCACCAGTGCTGTCGTCCGCATAGCAATGAATGTTACTAGTTTGCAACATATCATTGATATGCAGGAGAAACAGCGTCGGTGATAGCACGCAGCCTTGTGGGACACCAGCGTTGATAAGCTTGAAATCAGAGCATGCACCGTCTACTACGACCTTGATGCTTCGATCAGCATGGAAACTGGTGATCCATTTGCACAATTTCTCGGGAAGACCATAGGAAGGAAGCTTCGAAAGAAGCGCTTTGTGCCAGACCCGATCGAAGGCCTTCGATATGTCCAAATTAACGGCCAATGCTTCCCCCAGGACTCTACTGCCTCCGCCCATCATGAGTCAGGTAGACCAGAAGATACCAGCTGATCGACCCCGATGAAAACCGTACTGGCGGTCACTAATCAGCTGGTGATCCTCAAGGTACCTTATGAGCTGGCAGTTTATAATGGATTCCATTATTTTGGAGAACAAGGAGGTGATAGCGATAGGCCTGTAGTTGGACGGGTTTGAGCGGTCGCCTTTTTAGGGATCGGGTGTACCAAAGCTGTCTTCCATGAATTCGGGACTACGCCTTGGGAGTAGGAGTACCGGAAAAGACGCGTTAAAACCGGTGCCAACTCCGGAGCACACGTCTTCAGCACAATGGGAGGGATTCCATCAGGCCCACTCGACTTGCTGACGTCCAGGGAGAAGAGTGCTTTACGAACCGAGTGCTGTGTAAATTGCACATCCGGCATGGGGCACTCACCGCGGGATGGTCGGCGGTGTATTCCCCCCGTTATCTAGAGTCGAGTTGGACGCAAAGAGAGAGCTTTAAAGATCGGCTTTCTCCTTTGCGGCATGGGCCAGTGAGTCGTCTTCTCTGTGCAGAGATGGAAGAGATGGCTGACAGAAGTTCCCTTGGACAGCCTTGGCGAGAGACCAGAATGCACGGGTTGCCGAAGGAAGGCGAACTAGCTTCTCGCCAATTCTGCCGATGTGCTCAGAACTTGCCTTAGCAATGACGCTTTTGAAGGACCTGGCGGCGGAATTATACTTCTTTTTAACTGCGCTGGTGTTTACATCCCGAGACGTTGATGCGTCAGCGCAGGCCCGGTAGCACTCATGCTTATAGCGTGATGCTATTTTGCAGGAGCGACCAAACCATGGCTGGGATCTGTCTCCGATGGGCACCACAGAGGATGGTATAAAAAGTTCCATACCCTGAAGTACCACATCAACAGAATCGGCAACAACGCCTGGATCTTCCGGCGAGAAGCAAACCCGCGCCCAAGAGTAGGATGCAAAAAAAGATTGTATCCCGTCCAAATCGGCCGACCTATAGTGCCAAACATGGCGGCAAGCTGCAGATTGCAACTGCGATGAGAGCGTGAGTGGCACCGTACTCCGGATCAGACAATGGTCCGAAGAGCTTAGAGGGGCATCGACGGAGACCTGATATCCGTCCGTATGAGAGGTCAGCAGAAGGTCCAACAGGGAAGGTACATGATCCTCCACATCTGGGATCCGCGTAGATGAAGTAACCAGTGGTGTTAGACCATATGCCAAGGCAAAGTCATAGACAGATCTACCCACATGATCGGTTAAACGGGAACCAGGCCATTCAGCGTGGTGGGCGTTAAAATAACCGAGTATCACGATCTCTGCGGATGGGACCTGTTGTAGAACGGAGTCTGCAACCATTTGGACGTGGTCGATGAGTCGGTCTGTGTCGGCATTACCGCTATGGGACCTATAGAGGCACCCGTAGACGTGGGGATGGTCGTCGCACTCTACGCGCAGCAATAGGATGGACAGGTCCGTACCTTCAAAACTGCCGAGGCGTCGAAAACAGATGTCCTCTCTGACGTATACGCAAACCCCAGCCCGAGGCATAAAGGAGTGTTCTAATTTGTACCCCGGGTAGGAGAGATATGAAGCATCAGCCGAAGAGGACACCTAAGTCTCGGTTAAAAAGAGCAAGGCCGGCTTCGCCATCTCTAGATGGTAATGGACAGCGTTAAGGTTGGAATGAAGTTCCCTGATGTTGCAAAAATTCACGGATAGCGTGACAGGGGTCGCCTTGCTCTTATTGCTCCGCTTGCCCCGAGCAGTTTTAGTCGCGAGCGGAATTTAGCCCCTTCGCTCAGATTACCCACGCTCAGGAGTCGAGTAGTTTGGTCGTGGATTCTCAGCGAGGGATTCTCCAGGGGTGCTGGTACCCTCCTGGTGTAGTCTTTTCTTAAATTCCGCTACCATGTTGATGGGGGGGGGGGGGGGAATTGGACCGTGCACCGCACTGCAGTGTAGTGCAGTGCGCCCGAACCGCGCTGGGAGCTGTTCCACGCGCACGATTTTGAAGAACCCTTTATATTTTATCTTCTGTAATAAGATAGTATTAGTAATGTAACTCGCATTGGATTCAAATAACAAACCCGGCAAACTTTTTAAAAATGGCTATTTATGTCTTAATAGCATGCAAATAACCCCTTGAGCTTAATAGAAACCAGTTATGCCGGCGAGATTCAAACTAGAGTTGCTCGCGTGTTTTGAAACTAACGGTATCCATTTAGCCTCAGAGCTACAACGATGCCTTCTCAGTTGTTAATTTCTTAACATATTGTGTCTCTTATCGAACATAAATGCAACAACGAAGTCTTATTAAATATTCAATATATTTGCAGTTTCGCAATTTTGAAATTTGAAATATAAAATAGATAAGCGATGTTTATTCGAAGATGAATGAATGATTTGTGTTGAAGTGGGGGGGACAAAAAATGACACTTGGCGTTATGCTTAAAACAATACAACTATATCGAATAGCGGACCGCAGACATATTGATTATATTGATATCAAATGATTGAATGATTACTTTTCGTTCTTAGGGCTGGGAGGCAAACGTATCAGTGTGAATCGGCTCCATGCAGTGTTGGCCCGTGAATTAGCCTCAATACGCACTAGCGCACCTCAAAGGAACCTCGTCGCGTTGGAAATACAAAAGGTTTGCGTATACTTTTACACTTTGTAGATATATTTTGGACTTTTCGGCTTACTATTTTTTTAATAATGATGTTATTTTGAAATTTTATCTTTAAATCTGTTCAGGTGCTCGACTACGTAACAGAAGTCAACAGGCAGCGTAACCTCGCCGCAACAATCACCCATTACTACGACTCGTGGCGACAACTAACAGAAATCATATTTTGCGTCGCCCCACAGGACTTACTGAATCTCGAGTCCAGAAAGAACCTACTATTAAATATCCTCCAAGATCTATTAAACAAAATCCCTCCAGCAGAAGTCCTGCCGCAACTGGGAAATCTGGCATCTGGAACAGTATTATTATTGCTTGTTAATTTAAGACATTGTTATATATTACAAAAGAGAGAATCCAATTTGAATTCATCAGAATTCGAAACTACTTTCTTTGGTCCTTCGAATCAGATAATGCAAACTAAATCTCTGACTCTGAAGTTCATATTGCACAAGATTTTAAGTTGGATATTGGTGTCCGGCGGCAGTACGCAGAAGATGCGCGTGAATTTGTACGGGGCGCTGTTGAATTTCTTGAACATAGTGAATTTAAAAGTGAGTCCTGCGGAGCCCGAGGAAGAAATAATGACTGCGACATATGTGAGCCGCCTTGATAGTTCCAAAGGACGACAGAGCAAAGAAGAATCTGCGTTGAAGGCAATGGTTATAGACGTTATAAACGGTTTCGGGGATAAGTTATGCTCGATAGTGTGCAGCGACTGTATCGGTGCGGGACACGACGTCTGCAGGATGGTGGCCCTGTCCTGCTTGGACACGCTCATCGAGATCAACCCGGGCACGGATTGGATGAACACACTCACCAATCAGGGATATCTGAGGAGTCTGATCGACAGTCTGTTGCAGGACGACGAAGGGTTGTTAGAGGTAATTAATTTAATTTTTTATGAAAATATAATGGACCAAGTGATTCATAATGCCCGGGCGATATGAATAATGGCCAATATGAGCCGGCATGATAAATTTAATTATTTCCAAACTATTGAAATAATTAAACTGATATGTTTATACTGTAAATAATTAATATGATCTTTCTATTCTATTCTATTCTAAGTAACGGGCTTTATGAAAAGTCCGTTACTTAGAATAGAATAGAAAGAATGATTTTTATTCAATATTGATTATTACATAATACTTATTGAAAGTCATTTTTTATCTTCCACTGGTTCGGAAAATACCTCTGTCCTGGGAAGAACCAGCAAGAAACCCAGCGGAACTTATTGGGCGGAGCAATAAAAAGATAAGGTTAGGTTAAGTTTTTTGTCACACATTTAATGTTTGCGTGCGTAGTAAAATAGTAGGCGTTAGATATTTATGAATGACAGTTAAAATTGAATTTAAAATATAAGGACAGAATATTTGAGAATTTTATATATATTTTTTTTACCATTCGCCTATATTACTTATTCTGAACTTCTGCAAATTTGGGCATACATTGCCAAACAACCCTGTTTATATTACAACATACAACATAAAAACACACGCCTGTCACCCAGAGGGGTAGGGAGAGACTACGGACTTCCATTTGGCGCGATCCTGACACAGCTCACTCGCCTCCTTTACATCCATATATTTACGCATACACGCTCGTCGGTTAAGGGTACTCCTAATCTGGCCCATTTTCAATGTATCGCCGATTTGGTCGATAAATCTTCGTCTAGGGTGTCCCTTCCCGACTTTGCCGTTCACTTCTGAAACATAAATTTTTGCCACTCTTTCCTCGTTCAATCTTTCTACGTGACCAAACCACTGAAGCATTCCTTTTTTAATCCTAGTCACAACGTCATCGTGCAAACCACACTTTTCTCTTATCACACTATTTCTCACCCTGTCATTCAGTTTCTGCCCTAGCATATTCCGTAATGACCGCATTTCTACAGCCTTTATTCTACTCTCATGCTTCTTCTGCGATACCCAACTTTCACTACCATACATTAAAGTAGGTACTAACACAACATTGTGAATTGCCATACGTGCCGTCTTTGACACATTCTGACTCTTCATAATAGCGTGTAGAGCCCCATTAACTCTATTTCCTGCGTTCACTCGTCTTTCTATATCCTTATCATATCTACCATCCCTGCTAAATAAACATCCCAAATATACAAACTCATCCACTTGCTCAATCAACTCCCCTTCTATTCTTATTTCACATAACGTTTTACTTTCTTCTCTTTCAAAAACCATCACTTTCGTCTTACTTGCGTTCACTTTCATACCCCTTTCTTTTAATGACCAGTTCATTAAATTAACCATCATTTGCAACTCGGCCGCCGACGATGCAAATATGACTTGATCATCGGCGTACAAAAGGCATTTGACGGTTAATTCACCCATTCTCAACCCACGTTCTTCAACTTTCAAAGTTTGCAAACAACTGTCCATAAATAGGTTAAACAGCCACGGAGAAGCTACACAGCCCTGTCTGACACCTTTTTGAATGCCAAACCAGTCCGAGTAGGCCCCGTTGATCCTGACACAAGCACTAGAGTCCCTATAAAGAGACTTTAATGCCTGTATCATACCAGCGTTCAATCCAAATGAGGTCAGTGTTTGCCATAACACGTTCCTGTCCACTCTGTTATAAGCCTTTTCCAAGTCCATGAGCGCACAAAAAACTTTCTGGTTTTTAGTCAAAAATTTCTCCGCAATCATGCGCATGGAAAAGACTTGATCCGTACACCCCATCCCCTTTCTAAATCCAGCTTGCACATTCCAAATTTTTCCATCAGTTTCTTCCATAACTCTTTCAATTAACACCTTAGCATATAGTTTACCCACAATGCTAAGCAAGCTGATACCACGGTAGTTTTTACAGTCCCGCTGCGACCCCTTTCCCTTATATATTGGGACTATAACGGCTTTGCACCAGTCTTTCGGTACCCGCTTCAGTTCCTAACATAAATTAAACAGGGTGTGCAGCAGGCCTTCAACAACACCCTCTCCAGCCCTTAGCATTTCGAGTCATACTCTATCATATCCGGCTGCCTTACCTGCTTTCTTGCTTTTCATTGCTTTCATTATTTCATCTACACTTATCTCCCTTTTCTCTCCACTTCTTCCGGAATTTCTATTTCACTTACTTCAGACGACTCTTCACTCTTAAACACGCTTTCAAAGTATTCCTTCCATCTCTTTAAATTCGAAACTTCATCATTCAGCATGCAGCCATTCTCGTCTCGTATAGCATTCATTCTAGGCTGTTTTCCCCTGGCTGTTCTTACGAGCTTCCAAAACATTTTAATATTTGCTTGGAAGTTATCAGATATTGTTCTATCATTCTTATCTATCCTTTCTTGCTTCTTCCTTTCAACAACTTCTTTTACTCTCTTATTTATACGTCTAAAGTCTGCCTTTTTTCTTTCAATCTCATCATTCATACCGCAAGATTTACCAGCTTTGGTTGCTAGTAAATCTAGCCATGCTCTCTTCTTTGCTTCAACTTCCATCCGTGCCTCATCATCCCACCACAACGTATTACTTTTCGTTTCATTCTTTCTCTTACTTACACCACATACTTCGGTGGCTGTATCAACCAAAATCTTCTTAACTTTATTGCATACATTCTTCAAGTCTAAATCATTCATACATAATTCATTCAACACACTTATATTTTCCCTCAGTCTGCATTTATACTTCTCTTTCACACCTTCATCTTGTAACCTCTCTATTCTTATACGCTGTAACGCAGTGATAGACACATATGTCCGATGCCGCCAATGCTTGAATAGACCATTAATTCGGCATAAGACCAGGTAATGATCCGTCCTTACGTTGGACCCACCGTAAACCCTTGTATCTACCACTGCGCTCCTCATTCTTTCATCCACAATTATGAAATATATCATGCTTCTATCATCCCCTCTTTCCCAAGTATACATGTAAATCATCTTATGGCGAAAGAAAGTGTTCGCCACAAAAATATTCTTTTCCACACATAATATGGTGAGGAGGTCTTCATCATTCTCATTTATTCTTTCATCGCCAAAGCTCCTAATATCCTTTCATAACCAGACCTCTTCACCCCAACCCTTCCATTAAAATCTCCTAACATAATAATATTTTCATTTTTCTTACATTTCGTCAACACCATCCTTACCATGTCCCAAAACTGCTCTTGGATATGTAATGTAGGTAGAATAATAATTTGTAATATTTCGTCATTGTGAATTGCAACAGTCACCGCAGTCTCGCATTAAAGGCTTAAGAAGTACGTAGTGTTTGCTTTCCTATCTTAATACGTCTAGATTCGACAGGATATAAGTGGGCTTAGACATATCTGGGGCGTACACCCCAAGCACGAACAACTTCTTTAAGCCCACTTTCATTCGTATCCACACCAGCCTTGGGCTTACACATTCATACTCTTTCACACATTGACCCATTCTTTCTGAAAGGATGACACCGACTCCCTGGCATACCCGCTCGGTCTCGTCTACTCCAGACCAGTAAGCGGTATACATGCCATGTGCAGTGACATCTCTTCCCTTTCATTTCGTCTCATTCCCACATAACACATCTATTCCTCTATCATTCATCATTTCGCATATTTTATCCATCTTATCATTCATTGCTCCACATACATTCCGCGTAGCCAGACGGGCTTCCGCAATCCACTTTTCGCCCCTCCGGGAGACGACGTGACGGGTGGCGAACCCCGTCGCCGGTTTTCCTCCCGGAGATTCTTCGCACCCCTCCCCCATTAAAGGGGCGCCGGGAACTCGGGGCCATTTCTTTTGATTGTTGGCTCATGGTGCGACATAAGGGGTGGTAGATTTTACGCCGTTACCATACGGCGGGGAACCGAGTCTATCGTTTCGGCTTTGTCGCTCGTTTAGCACCACCCGGGGGACACGTGTAGGGTGGGCCTAGGGTTAGGTGGTCGAAGCCTACGGACGCGAGCGACTTATCCCCCTCTGTTCTGTTTATATTATGTTATGATTATATGTTTATGAATATATGTATATGAATATATGTTTATGTTACATTATGATTTTTTTATAATTACGGTGATATGAATAAATTTATAAATAAAATTATTTTAGTTTCTCTTAGTTAGTAGTTTACTTAGGTGCGGTCAGGTCATAATTGAGCAATTTTCAATGAAAAAAAATTAAAAATTGAATCGTTTTTGTATTTTGTGATATGTTTCCCAATCTAAAATATTTATAAGTAACGTACATAAAACTCTTGATCTTTTAATTGACCGTGAGACGAATTAATGAAACGACGGTTAAGCTAACATTGACTTTATTATTTTACATGCCTATCTCATTTATTTTACCTATATACCCACCTATATAATTTATTACAACCCCTTTGTGAAATAAAATTGACTTCATTCTTTTTTTAAATCTCATTTTGCCGTCAATACATGAAAAGAAAAATAATTGATTAAAATTCATTGAATTATTCAATAATGTTCATAAATTCATGAGCATTAATATAAATCATTTAATATTGGATTTTAACGTGGTAGAGCCACGCTACAGCTATATTATGGTTGTAGAACGAATGGGTCGGCTCGACCGGGGCAGGACCACGCTCTCATAGAATACCACCGTAAAATAGTAACTTAATGGTGCTGTGTTTCGTATAGTGAGTGTTGAGAACCGGCGGCCCTTTTTACTGGAAATAAGGCATTCCATGTTAATCCTCAGGGATGATAATGCATCAGCATTTTGATTCTTAATCGAGAATAAATGTAGATGTCTTTGGGCTACTGCATCCACTTACAATTAGGGAGACTGTGTGCTCGTTTCTCACCCATATTCTATAAAAAATATCAGTACTGAAATTTATTTTATATTATTAATACTTAATATTTATAAATTCATTACTAATAACATTTTATAATTCAATTATAACCAAATAATAATTAAATTATACAATTATCACTGGATTATTAATATCAAATAATATTCATAAATTTATTAGCATTAATAATAAATAATTCAATACTCATTTCATAACATAATAATTAATTAATATTCACAAAAACAATATCATCAAATAATAAAAAAGAAAAAAAATCTATTTCTATTTTTCTATTCTTTTTATTATTTTTTCTATTTTTGTTGACGTTACCACCACACTAGGATTTTCTCCTGTATCGTGGAGGCAGTTTACAAACATAAATTGCACGAGGACAAACATCCAGACCCGGAACAATTATTTGTAGGCTATACAAATAATTGTTATGATGAGATGAGATGTCTGTTTTTTTTTAAATAGACTGAAGCCATACAAATACTTGTTCCGTACGGGATTCGAACTCTTGAATCATTGAATTGAATCATTGAATCAACTAAAATCTCATCATTGAATTATCTAAAAAAAATTGCATTAATAATATATAGTTTAATCATATAATAGTCAAAAACAATTATGGTGCTATAACACTGTTATTTGTGCAAGCGTGGACTGTTCAAGCTGCAGCTAAACACTGTATTGTTGGGTCTACCAGGAATATTAATATGTGTCAACAATTTTGTCTTAAAATTGGGCGGTCGCAGGCCCTGGAGCCGAACCCGAAGTCGTTGCGCGTGGTGTACGTGTACGAGTCGAAGCTGGCGCTGCTGATCAAGATCGCGGGCACGCGGCTCGGCGCCGAGACGCTGCTGGCGCAGGGCGCGCTGGCGCGCCTGGCCGCCATGCGCGCGCTGCACTGCCACCCCGACCTGCACGCCGCCACCGCTGCCACGCCTGCCACCGACCACGACACGCACTTCGTGCCTTCCGTGCCCAACAGGTCACAACACCATCACTTTTACAGCGTGGTAGAGCCATGCTGCAGCTATATTAGTAGTATAGTTTTAGCACGAATGGGTCGGCTTGACCGGGGAAGGACCACGCTCCCACAGAATACCAGCGTAAAATAGCAGCTTAACGCTGCTGTGCTTCGTATTGTTAGTGTAGAGAACTGGAGACCCTTTTTACTGGAAAAGAGGCATTCCATCTTAGTCCTCACGGGTGACAACGCATCTGCATTTTGATTCGCAAACGAGGATAGACGTTGTTCGCGCTAAACGCTAATTCCAAGAACGAACGCGAGAGGGCGCGCGGCTCAGTGTCATACCGGTTTGACATTCGGTCGTGCGAAAAACGACCAAGGGCAGTCAGTCGTCCTTAGGCAGTGCTCACGATTGGCACGCTGTCATTTTGTCGGGAACTCGGAATAATTCGGCGCGGCCAGTAAATATACGGTCTACCATTGTGACGCGCATTCCTGCTGGAGAGCTTCCCAGGGACTCATTGTGTTTGACTCAGAATCTGCATAAGTGCATTAGGCAATATTAGCTAGTGCGGCCTCTGATATTCTAGGACTAACTGTTGCGACGCGAAACGGTAGTGACCTTTAATCCGTAAACTCCGTGTGCGTTTTGTGCGTTAACCTTATAACCCGCGATAGTTAGTGGCTTCTGTAAGTTAGTTAATCGTACGATAGAGTTAATTGACTGTCATCGTGAAGAACGAGGAAAGTGACTGTGGTCCGGTGTCTAAGCAGTCTGAAGCGGTGCAGCATTTTGGAGCAGCTTGGAACTCGGCCGCAGCTGGTCGCCTATGCTTGACAAGGCCCTACACATTCACACCTCACTGTACACTACTCGCCATCCACTATTACACACACTCACGGCCTGCCCAAGCCTTGGTGCGAAGTTAGCTTCGGATAATGGTAAGTACTATGTCTTTCTAGCGTCCTCCCATCTGGTTTATTGTAATTAGGAATTTCCACGTGGCCATATTGAGGCCCGACCTACGTCTGCTCGGGAAGTCTTCTGCTCATGGGCCCCAGAGGATTGGACCCTTTAAGCGAGCACCCGTAGGCCGTAACAGACGTAGATGTCTATGGGCCACAGCAACCACTTACCATCAGGTGGACTGTGTGTTCGTTTGTGACCCTATCCTATAAAAAAAAATCAATGGGCGTTCCTCAGGGCTCGATTCTTGGCCCATTCCTGTTTTTATTCTATATTAATGACTTACCTTATCTTGTAGGGGACAATCACGATATAGTATTATTTGCTGACGATACCTCTTTAATTTTCAAACTCAAACGGCAGTTAATTAATTATGACGATGTAAATAATGCTCTATCGAAATTGGTACATTGGTTTAACGCCAACAATATGCTCTTAAACGGCAATAAGACAAAGTGTATTAAATTTACAATACCTAATGTAAAATATTCGAATACCAATATGCTGTTAAATGGGGAGGAGTTGAGTCTTGTGGATACCACTGTTTTTCTCGGTACTACTATTGACGCGAAACTTCAATGGGGCCCCCATATATCTAAATTAGCAAGCAGACTTAGTTCTGCAGCATATGCTGTAAGAAAGATTAGAAGTCTCACAGATGTTGAGACAACTAGATTAGTGTATTTTACTTACTTTCATAGCGTCTTATGGAATTTTGCTATGGGGTAGTGCGACTGATATTGAAGCTATATTTGTTTTGCAAAAGAGAGCCGTACGGGCGATTTATAACCTAAATTGTAAAGAGTCCCTCAGAGAAAATTTAAAGAAATAAACATATTAAATTTGGCATCGTAATATATTTATGAGAATGTAATGTATGTGCATAAAAACATAAATAGCTTTAATAAGAATAAGGATGTGCATACTTTAAACACTAGGAACAAACATAAGCTTGTAATGCTAGTTACTAGACTCCACAGAATCAGTAATTCATTTATGGGGCAATGTATACGCTTTTACAACAAAATCCCAGAACATATCCAAAGTTTGTCAATAAACAAGTTTAAAAGTTTTATTAAAGAAAAACTGTACAAAAAGGGTTATTATAATATCAAGGAATACATGAATGAAAATAACCCCTGGGAATAAGGTGATCGCCACCATGCTGGTTCTATGAAAAATCATTTAAAACTTGTATAAACGAAGTTATTGTTAAGTGAAATATGTTTGAAAAAAAAAAGTCCCGCTGGGTTTCTTGCTGGTTCTTCCCAGGTTCGGAAAACAGTGTTTTCCGAACCGTTGGTAAATAAAAAATGACTTTAAAAAAGTATTATGTAATAATCAATATTGAATAAAAAATTATTCTATTCTATTTTATTCTATTCATCACCACCGCGACTACCATCACTAGCACCACAACCACCATTTCAAAACCACCACTACACTACCACAAAAGTATCACCTCCACCACCGTCATTAGTGCCATAACCACTACCAAATTGATCATACCACAACACTACCGCCACCATACCACTAGTCCGCTAACACCACCACAACCACAACCACAACGACCACAAACACCATATCATAACATCATCACCATTATTATCTCATTATCATGCTCCCATCACAAGTCCACTGCTAAACTTAGGCTTGCCCGAAGCAATGGCAAAAAAGACGGTCCTGATGGATGCATCATGCATGTGGGATGCATAATGCATCCATCGTTTTCTTGCATTTCTTACTCCACCTTACAATTCGCTTACCGGCACAGGCTGCCACTCGAAAAACTATCCTCACCTTCGGTTGTTCGGTCTTCGAGTTATATGGCCGAACAAATGCCACTTCAGCTTACTGATCCGTTGGGCAATGTCAAGTCAAGAGATGGTTATAAAGGCCGCCACGCCACCACTACAAAAGTTATTTAAATTTTTTTTTGTTGTTATTGTAGATTTCGTCAGATCCTGGTGCCGGCATTGGCGTTATGCGACGCTCTCCTGACGTCTCTGGGCACGCAGAACCACAGCTGCGTCATACATGTCACACACTTCCTTATTAGTCACGTGGAGTGCGTGGATATGGTGCTCAGGTAAGAGCTTTTTAATTATGTTTATTTTCATTAAAAAAAAAAGCCATAATATTGGATTTAGTTAACTTTTGGCTTTTAAAACATTAATATTTTACAAGGGAAAACAGTAGAGGATTAAATATATCATTTGGTAAAATATATCATTTGGTTTATTAAAAATTAAACAAGGAACAAATAAAGAAAAATGTGGTCAGAGGGGTGTCCATTTATCTATCCATCAATTACAGCCTATGAAAGTCCACAACTAAATATAGGCCTCCCTTATAGATTGCCACATAGGGGCGATTTTGCCGTAGTTGTTACGCTTGGCGGGTGGGTTGGAAGTGGCAAATTGCTCCTGCCCATTTCCTGTTTCAGTTTAACCCTGTTATTTCCTACGATACCCTCTGCACGGCTAGGATAGGCTGGGGACAAAAATTTTATCCCCCGATTATATCCACTGACAAGAGATAAAATTATCTTGTCCCTATGCCAAAGCACGGCAACGGGAAAAAGTATATCCCCGTTTGACATAACGAGTAGAGATGTATCCCCCGTCCGTAGCATGGAGCCAAATGAAAGATAAAAAAGTATGCTTTTTGACATTTGAAAGGGGCAATTCTATCCTATAGTAAAATTATTTTGTGCGTGCAGTTGGGGTCATAAATCATAACTCGGCCTCAGCCCGGCTAGGGCAGTGAGCATGTTGCGCGGGCGCAACGCCATTATCGATAACAACAAATGAATCATCAAAGGGTGGTACGACATTGTTATGTTATGAGTCATTTGTTTTCCATTATTACCTCCGCCTAATACCTGCCAATTAGTGCAATGATAATTTAGTAATGGCTACTCCTTTGTTTTGTACCAAAACGGCAGAATTTATTCAAAATAATATTTTGCCTCTTGGCACCAATATACTAGCTATATCGCAGTATCGCTATAGAGCAGATATCGTAATTCATGTGGATGACAAGACTGATGATTCTGATGTAGAATTTTAATGTAAATGGTTTTAGATTTAATTTTAGATATAAGTTATTATCTTTATATTTATATTTATTTTTAATATAACTTGTTACATTCCAAATATTTGTACTTATAGTTTTTTAATACATATATAATTAATACATACATAACCTAATTAATAATTTATTAAATCATTATTATTCTTATTTTAATAAATACGTTGTTTTATCTATTTTTTTTTTCATTTTTATCTCTAACCCACATAATGACAGAACTAAATACACTATCGAGAACAATAATACGCATCACTAATCACTATGTTCGCCCGAGTGGGAGAGAGAGCGAAATACTCCGACGATTTATGACCTAAACTGCACGGACAAAATAATTCTAGTATAGTTCATTGGACGTGGGTTGAAGTTTATATTCATACAAAGAAATCTATCTAAGTCTAAGTCTCCTATTTTATCTACTGTGGATATTATATCCACCGGTGTGCCCATGCTCGAAGGGTGGATAAAACTAAGCGAGGGGATAAATATTTTCTCCTTTCCCCGGGGATAAAATTGTCTCCTGCCCATGCTAGCCCATGCTGGATTACTTAGCCCCTTCGCACACGGCGCCGTATCGTAAGCGTATCGTAATACGCGCGTAGGACGAGAGCAATACGAGCGCGTACATGTTCAAAGAAGTCCACACTGGAAGCGGTGCTGCAGCGAATCGTAGGAGATGTTTGTCATTACGATAGTCGTACTGTACTAGCGTAAAAAAGCAAGCGTAAAAAATGAACTGTTCATTAATTTCTTTAAAAATTTAACTGAATTTTAATTTTTTTAACTTATGACTTTTCATTTCAATAGGTATGAATAGGACTGAAAAAGTGATTGAATTCGTGAAACTGGGTGAAGCTTCCCTTGTCTATATAATCATTCATTAAAGTGAATATTCAAGGAAAGATGTAACGGATAAAGCTTGGGCAGATATATCGTCATAAATATCGCTTTCTACTTCTTACATAATCTTTATATATAAAAATTACGTGTCACGTTGATTGTCCGCGATGGGCTCCTAAACTACTAAACTGATTTCAATGAAATTTTGCACACAGTATGCATTTTGGTTCAACTTGAGAGATAGAATAGTTTTTATCCCGATAAATGACCCTAAAATTTTTTTATTGAGAATTTAAGGATTTTTATAGGAAAGGTCGTTCGAAGGGGCAGAACAACGTCTGCCTGGCGAGCTAGTCAAATAATAAAAAATCCTCTTCGTCTAAAGAGAAAGTAAGATAATCTATCAATTCACCTAACACTTCTGGTACCGTGATTTCAACTGAGATCTTACAAAATGATAGGTCTACGCGACGATTCGTTTGTAGAACACTGCAGGTGTCGTACGCGTTGCGTCGTGACGATACGACTACGCTTACGACTCGTGTGCGTAGAGCCTTAGAGAAGTGGATATTCTTATAACGCCGCTACACGGTTAAGGAGTTAACAGGAGTAACAGGTTTATATATACAAAAAAAAGTCGCGAAGGTAGGAGCGTCTTGTGTTCTAGTGCGCCTTACATGAGAAGGGAAGGGTTAGTCCTTTCCTGAGCACAGGCCGCCAAGAGGCGGCCGGAGCCGGTGGTGACGCGGACGTGTGTAAAGGCGTCGTGTGTCCTTGCCAAAATGCGGCGAAGGTAGACCAGACCCCGTCCTTGACTTCGCGAGGCGGGTGTGCATAGGTGTTTACCCATGTAAAAAAAAAAACTATAAAAGCACACTAGAATGCTTATTTCTTACTTTCTGTAAGCGTGATTTTAAATAAACTTTAAACCAGTTTCCATTTTTAAATAACTTTAATTAACTTTAAACTCAAGTTTCTGTGTAATGGCGGTCTAAGAACATCCACTATCCCATATCGTCCCGCGGGTGTCGTAAGAGGCGACAGAGGGAAACTGAAACGGGAGATGGGCAGCAGCATCTTCCTGATAATAATTTAATAAGAAATTGCGGTTGTCAACCCGTCTGCCAAGTGTGGCAACTATGGTAAATTACCTACGACGCAATCTGGGGGAGGTCTATGTTCTGCAGTGGAATTTTATAGGCTGTAAGGGATGAAAGTTAAAAAGGTGATGGATTCAAAGTTGTAATGTAAGCCATACACGTTACGGTTTAAAGAACATGTTTGCCTGTGCAAGTTTGCCTGCTTAAAGAATTGATTTCCGGTCGCCTATACAGGATTATAAAATTGCACAGGTCTATTCCAATACACGCTCCGGTCTACGTACGCATGCAGACCTGCAAAGGTATAAGTCTCTAGTAGAGCGTAGCGTGTGTGGCCAGCATTAGACACGTTGTGTGGTTGTGGTCGAGCAGGGCGGCGCACCCGACGTCCCCGGAGGGACTACTGGTGGAGCTGGAGGCGCTGACGTCAGTCATAGCGCGCGCGTCGCACCGCGAGGTGCTGGCGCAGGTGCGCGCGGAGCCGGCGTTGCAGCGCTGCGAGGCCGGACTGCAGCGCCTGCGCTGGCTCATGCTGGCGCTGCTACCGCGTTTCCAGCAGCCGCCGCCCGCGGCACATCAAGCCGCAGACGCGCGCCTCTACTGCAAGGTTCGCATGCACACGTACACACACGCACACGTATACACACGTATACACGCGCACGCAGAATTATGAACGCCGCGCTGGCTCATGCTGGCGCTGCTGCTGCGTTTCCAGTAACCACTGCCCGTGCCGTACCATGCCACCGACGCGCGTCTCTACTGTAAGGTGCCAAACGCATGCACATGTACACACGCACACATGCGCGCGCGCACACACACACACACACACACGCACGCACGCACGCACGCACGCACGCGCACGCACACGCACACACAAACACGTCGGTGTTTAGGTTACCTAAGTAATACTTTCGAGTAATTTATAATTTTAGGTGTCATACGTTGCAATCTGGCTCGAAGGACCATATAAATAATATACGGGATCGAAAATACTTGCACTATTCTTTGAAATAGTTTATTTATATATTGATTTGCAATTGATAAAGTTTATTCATACTCCAAATTATAGTTTATTATTGAATTCAATGATATGCGTATATTTTCTAGCGACTTCAAAAAGGAGACGGTACTCAATTCGACTTTATGTTTTTTTTTATGTGTGTTACCTCATACCTTTTTACTGGGTGGACCGATTTCCATAATTCTTGTTTTATTTGGTGCTTTACATGTGGTCCCATATAAATTTGATCAAGGTCTGACCAATAGTTTTTGAGTTATTCTTAATAATTTATATTGAAGTCGGTTGTACAAAATTTATAATTTTAAATTATGTAAAATGATAATGTTTGAGAGCTGTATTGATACAAATCACTCGTCCGCAGATTGTGTGCAACTTGTTGGTGTATGCGCTGAGTGCGCTGGAGAGCGAAGGAGGATCACGCGAGGCGGCGGGCGCGGCGAGCGCAGCGCGCGTGCTGCTGCAGCACCTGGCGCGGCGCCACCGCCTGCTGGCCAAGCTGCTGGCCACCGTCACGCACCAGCTGCACAGCGTGCCCGCCATGACGCTCGACGGTACCCTACTCTCTCTGTTGTGTCTCACGCGAACATGCACACGACCGCAGCGTGCGTGCTGCTGCACAGCGCAGTAGACCCATGAATTAGTCATCTTTGATGACATGCGAAGTACATATGTAAGACAGCCACATGTAATGGTCAATGAGAAGGCGTGTTGATCTGTTTATGGCTTTTATGAGACCTCTTTCGTTCCTACACTTTACACACTACTAATATATGTTATTGTGGGGGCTACATTATATAATATTAGCACCATTGAAAATATCCGGCTCGAAGGGCCAGTTAAAAGTATTTACAGTACAGTAAATTTTAAAGTTTATTTGTGAAATGCTAACAAATATTAAATGGACACTGTGATAGATATGAAGAAGTTACTGGGCGAGGAGACGCCGGCGAGTGCGTCACCGGTGGAGGTACGCGCGGGCGTGGTGTCGCTGCTGCGGGAGCGCGTGCGTGCGCGGCGCCGCGAGCTGCACTACTGCGCCGGAGCGCTGGCGGGCGCGCTGCAGCTGCTGTGGGCGCACGCGCGGACTCACCTGCGCGGTACGTGTGTGTGTGTGCGTGTGTGTGTGCGTGGCGCCGCGAGCTGCACTACTGCGCCGGAGCGCTGGCGGGCGCGCTGCAGCTGCTGTGGGCGCACGCGCGGACTCACCTGCGCGGTACGTGTGTGTGTGTGCGTGTGTGTGTGCGTGGCGCCGCGAGCTGCACTACTGCGCCGGAGCGCTGGCGGGCGCGCTGCAGCTGCTGTGGGCGCACGCGCGGACTCACCTGCGCGGTACGTGTGTGTGTGTGCGTGTGTGTGTGCGTGGCGCCGCGAGCTGCACTACTGCGCCGGAGCGCTGGCGGGCGCGCTGCAGCTGCTGTGGGCGCACGCGCGGACTCACCTGCGCGGTACGTGTGTGTGTGTGCGTGTGTGTGTGCGTGGCGCCGCGAGCTGCACTACTGCGCCGGAGCGCTGGCGGGCGCGCTGCAGCTGCTGTGGGCGCACGCGCGGACTCACCTGCGCGGTACGTGTGTGTGTGTGCGTGTGTGTGTGCGTGCGTTCGTGTGTGCGCGCGTGCGTGCGTGCGTGAGTTCGTGCGTGCGTACGTGTGTGTGCGCGTGTGCGTATGTGCGTACGAGCTTCGTGCTTATGCTTGTGTGAGTGCGTGTGTGTGGGTGTGTGCGTGCGAACGTGCGTGCGTCTACGTGTGTGCGTCTACGTGTGTGAGTGCGTGCGTGTACGCATGTGCGTGTGAGCGTGCATGCGTATTTGTGCGTGCGTCCGTGCGTATGCGTGTGTGAGAGCGTGCGTGTGCGTATGTGCGTGCGAGCCTGCGTGCGTATGCGTGTGTGATTGCGTGCGTGTGCGTATGTGCATGGGAGCGTGCGTGCGTATTCGTGCGTGCGTCCGTGCGTATGCGTGTGTGAGTGCGTGCGTGTGCGTATGTGCGTGCGGGCGTGCGTGCGTATGCGTGTGTGAGTGCGTGCGTATGCGTGTGGGATTGCGTGCGTTTGCGTATATGCGTGCGAGCGTGTGCGTATGTGCGTGCGAGCGTGCGTGCGTATGTGCGTGCGAGCGTGCGTGCGTATGCATGTGTGATTGCGTGCGTATGCGTGTAGGATTGCGTGCGTTTGCGTATGTGCGTGCGAGCGTGTGCGTATGTGCGTGCGAGCGTGTGCGTATGTGCTAGCGAGCGTGCGTGCGTATGCATGTGTGATTGCGTGCGTATGCGTGTGGGATTGCGTGCGTTTGCGTATGTGCGTGCGAGCGTGTGCGTATGTGCGTGCGAGCGTGTGCGTATGTGCGTGCGGGCGTGTGCGTATGTGCGTGCGAGCGTGCGTGCGTATGCATGTGTGATTGCGTGCGTATGCGTGTGGGATTGCGTGCGTTTGCGTATGTGCGTGCGAGCGTGTGCGTATGTGCGTGCGAGCGTGTGCGTATGTGCGTGCGAGCGTGCGTGCGTATGCTTGTGTGATTACGTGCGTGTGCGTATGTGCGTGCGAGCGTGCTTGCGTATGCGTGTGTAAGTGCGTGCGTATGCGTGTGTGAGTGCGTGCGTATGCGTGTGTGAGTGCGTACATATGCGTGTGTGATTGCGTGCGTGTGCGTATGTGCGTGCGAGCGTGTGCGTATGTGCTTGCGAGCGTGCGTGCGTATGCGTGTGTGAGTGCGTGCGTGTGCGTATGTGCGTGCGTGCGTGCGTGCGTGCGTGCATGTGTGCGTGCGTGCGATCGTGAGTGTATACGTACGTGTATGTGTCACTGTATCCAACACTAATGCCGCCGGCCACATAAATTGGGATTCGATTACTTTCGATCGGCCATCCCTTGTGAATACATCGTCACTTCGTGCGAATCTTGATGGACTTCGCTTGTGCGGCCATACTTCAGTGTGCCCACAGACATCGTGCTTAACGGATGTGCTACAGTAATTTGGGGTTTGCGACGTATTTTTACTATACGTATTGAATTAACACTAAACGCTTACGTAGTTCTTGATTTATGAATGATTATAATCCACTGTCACCTTTTCCTTGCTTTTTTATTTTTTTAAAACTGACACAATGATAAATAATAATTATTTGCTGCCATATAATACAGCGTAGATATATTCTACCACGTATAGTAATACGTGTAGAGTCATGCTGCAGCTATATTAATAGTATAGTTGTAGCACGAATGGGACCGGGGTAGGACCACCCTCTCACAGATTACCAGCGTAAAATGGCAGCTTGGCACTGCTGTGTTTCGTATGGTGAGTGTAGAGAACCGGAGACCCTTTTTACTGGAAAAGAGGCATTCTATCTTAGTCCTCACGGCTGACAACGCATTTGCATTTTAATTCGCAAATGAAGATAGATTTAGATGTCTATGGGCCTCAGTAACCACTTACCATCAGGTGCACAGTGTGCTCGTTTGTCACCCTAATTCTATAATAAAAAAGCTCCAATTTGTGTTTAGCGTGTGTTTATCGCGATAAACTTTACAATGCGCAGTGTGGCCAGTCACCTTAGTGGTAGGCCGAAGAGTAAGTTTTATCGCGATAATTCTATCGCGATGTGTGTGGCCGAGGCATAAAAAATACACATGATCGATAATCACATTTTTTTCTTTGGCGTTCATCTTCATTTGCGATAGGTAACTACTAAAACGATTTAGTGCTATAAACTGATAACCTAAGAACACAGCATGGTGATTGAACCTAATATTTAGCAGTAGATTAATAGGATGGTGATCCGGTGATGAGAATGTTGATGACAACTATAAATATTATTGTAGGGGTGAGCTCAACGGATACGATGAACGGTGGAGATGAGCTGCTAGAACTACGCAAGGAGTTCGTGGCCCTCTTCAACGACCGCTTCGTCGAGGAACTACTGGAAACTGTTAAGGTATGATATTATTTTTACTTCGAAGTGTTTGTCTCTGATCATGAGGATAGATGGACCTTTTTCTTAGTCTGCGTAGGTACCGCCACCATCTTACCTAATTCTATTGCCAAATAATGTACCTAATGCTGTGTTTCTAGTAATTACAAGATGTGAGAACTTTAACCATTAAAGTTAACAATTCTTTCGGCTTCTTTAGGCTGTAACCAGCTGCTATTAGATTGGTTGTTGAGCACGGAGCAAATACAAAGAGGAGGTGTTGTAATTAGATTTCACTATGTGTAACAACGCGTGACAATTTGCGGGATGAGGAAGTGTTAGCCCCGCCCACTTAACTATTTTCGACCTACCGATAAATAGTAAAACTACTCGTATCGTTCCATATCGTTGTTGCAATGTAGTTTAGCTACCTTGACGATAGATGGCGGCTTGTTCTCAAAATTATTATAAAAACTATAAAAATAACATTTTGGCGATTGAGAATTCTCTAGGGCTCAATGCAAAACAAATTTCAGCATTAGAGTATGACTATTTTACCAATACTGAGCTCTACGTACCTTTATATTTTTAGTTCCCATGACACAAAGTGTCGCCATCCAGTGTCGAATATATTGAATTATATTTGAAAGCTGACGCAAAGAGATTTTCTACCGACTTCAAAAAGGAGCCGGTACTCAATTCGACTATATGTTTTTTTATGTGTATTACCTCATAACTTTTTACTGGGTGAACCGATTTTGATGATTCTTTTTTTATTTGAAAGTTGGTGCTTCACATGTGGTCCATATAATTGATCAAGGTCTAACCAATAGTTTTTGAGTTATTCTTAATAATTTATTTTGAAGTCGGAATTGTACAAAATGTTTAATTTTAAATTATTCTAGAACTATTTTAATAAATTAGTTATAAAATTACTTACAAATGAAATGCGATGCCATCCATAGGATCAGAGCGTCTATCTGAGTAGTTTTTACACAACACTTCATCCTTCTCTTCTTAATACTACGAAAATACTCCGATTTTCGTTACATTAGCGCACAGGACGAACGCTGACAGTATACTAACTACCTACCTACCTACCTACCTAGTTAAAATCACAGTGCTCAATGGCTTAGGCCGTCTCCTCTTTGTATTTGCTCCGTGGTTAGGAGGGTCCAACTTACTAGTCTCTTTTAATTGAAAAAAGATAATTTTTACTGATTTAGTAATCGATTTTCCAAAGCTTTAAGATTTGCTCTTTATGATGTTGTTCTTTAGCTGCCTTTGTTTTTTTATTGAATATGGTACACAAACAGACAGTAGTTATGTACAGTTCTAAAATAAAAGTTTAATGGCGTTCCTCTAAACTACAATCCAAAAAGTGTACACAGCATCATGCAGTAGAGACATAGGCGTAGCAAAAAGTTAAAAAACAAGATAATAAAAATACGTCAGATATTGGGAGAAAAACACGCAAATTTCTTTTAAATCTAAAATGGGTACTATCGAATATGTCTAGATGAATGAACGTTACTACGTTTAATCTCATCGTAATCGTGGCACATTTTGACAATAGGATTGAAAAAGAATTTGTTATTCCTGTGTACGTCTTTTTGGAACGCATTGTCTTATATCGAAATTGAAGATAATTAGTTTTAGTAAGTCTGGGTGGGCAATCAATATGAGATTGTATTATTATGTGTAAAGAATCTTGGTCGGCAAATTATCTTCACGAAAATATGACATTAAAAATAAAGTCGAGAGTCGTATGATGGTAGACGACGCATATGACCACATCTCTCTCATCCTCTCGATATTCTCAGAATGTAGCTTAATAAAAGGGTGACCATACAGTGGATGCATACTCCGGTACAGAACGAACCAAATTATAAAACAACTGGAATAATGCGAGAAATTTGGAGAAATTTTTCGTTACAATAATTATAAACCCTAAGGGTTTGAAACTTTTTTGAATAATATACCATAAAGCGGACGACTTCATATCGGCAGAATAAAGTAAGCAGTAACTCTGAATTACATCCAAAAATCATTTATAAAAATGACGAAAAACTACGGCCCTAAATGGAATCCTTGAGGAATACCATACGTGACAGCTGCTGGAGCAATGTTATAACCTTTGACCCTAACAATCTGACTCCTCGTGGATATTTACGATCTCACCCAATGAAATTAATTGCCGCGTATTTCATTCGCCTCCAATTTCGCATCTAGTAACGCGTGGTTGACCTTGAAAAATAACTCTGATTTCTCCAATGTATTAATTGAATCCATCTGACGTCGATTAACAATAGCAGAGCTCATATGATTTCAAGCAGATTGCTTACAGTACATAGATGAAATTTTATGGTTAAAATGATTGTATAATGTGAGAATATATTTATGTTTCGAAAAGTTTAGCCTCTTTGTCGTCAATATTTCACGCTTTGAGCCAAACTATTTACGTACGTACTGCAAGGGATTAAATCATTTGCGGGCGTCTGTCTTTCAGTCTGACTAAAATGTAGGTGTTAAAAGACACGAGTGAATAGGCTTTTGTGACGCTAAGATAGTGCGATTAACCGTCTAGGGCTTTAGCACCACTTATCACCATGTGGGATTTTAAATAAAGCACTGCCTTATAATAGGTAAAAATATAATAATTATTTTGTATTTTACAGAACGAGCCTCCAATACAGCGAGGATTCGTGGAAATTCTCCTCAAAGACATCAAGACAATGATTCAGTTTTCGCCGCTCTAAGGATCTAATTTTGTAGATTTTGTAAGAAATTTTGATACGTGTCTCTCCAATCGCATTTGTAAATCTGTTTTGAATAAATTATATTTGTAATATTATATTTGTTGTTTCTTTACGAATTAAATATCGACAGATTGTATCATATAGCTCGAAGAACACACGATGGAGAAGAAAGGTTCTCGAGTGGCAGCCTCGTACCGGCGGGCGAAGTGTAGGGCGTGTATTTACGTGCTAGAGGCATGCTGCAGCTATATTACTAGTATAGTTGTAGCACGAATGGGTCGGCTCGACCGGGAAAGGACCACACTCTCACAGAATACCAGCGCAAAATAGCAGGTTGACGTTGCTGTGTTTCGTATGGTGAGTGTAGAGAACCGGAGACCTTTTTTTACTGGAAATGAGGCATTCCATCTTAGTCCTCCCGTGTAATTCATGAACTTAATTTTTGCCCAAATTTTTTATGTCATATTATATAGTTTACTGTGACCATTATGCGTGCTCAATATAGGATAGTCAAAATAACATTTCGCTTCGCATTGCTTTCTAACTTCAAGTGGATTGAGTAGGAGGTGCAAATATTACCAAATTAAAATACAATGAATAAATTTTTAATTATTTTTACAGTTCAGTAGGTGCGTTATATTTCACGATGCAGGCGTGCAAATTTACATAAAATCTTATCGATTCCCTTACACATTCCATCCATCCATTACAGCCTACAAAAGGCCACTGCTATATATAGGCCCTCTTCCATATACTGCCTCATAGGGAGGATTTTGCCATAGTTGCCACACTTGGGAGGCGGGTTGGCAACCGCATTCTGTGTATAATTTTGGGTTGTTAACAAGAAGATGCTGCTGCCTGCTCCTTGTTTCAGTTTCCCCCTGTCGCCTCTCACGACACGACCAATTGGACACTTAAAGCGAAAAACTTTTATACTTAAAACACAATAAAGAACAGTACTGAGTGTAATCGGATTATCATGTTTCAATTTCGTCTTAGTTCACTTAAAAAATTGAACAAGTTTGAGCGGTGTAATTCAAATACTGAAATAAATGAAGCTTATGTGAGATGAAAAGGAGAAAAATGAATAAAACTAGTGCAATCAATATATAATGAATTTTACTTCACTTATGATCAAGATTTTTCATCAAATTTATACATTTTTTCACGGTTTTTGAACCAATTTTCGTAAAAAGTAAGCCTGTTTAGTGTTGACGTGTAGTGGAAGTTTATTTATAATTTTAGTGTTCATTAAATTCATTGTTGAAAACAGACGCTTCACAATAGCTCTACGATATGGCAATGTTAATAAATTTTTTGCAAATTAAGCAAGTACAGGAAACATTTGAGATTAATTGCCTTTAATTATTTTTGAAATATCACTCCCAAAGTTTTTAACTAACTGATCCTCTTGATATGGAAAATTTCCTTTACTACTTTACTTTATTTAAGACTTTAACCTGAAAACAGAGTTAATTAATACCAAGTGCAGTTGATTATATAAAATTATATAATCAACAAATATATGATTATATAATTTTATATAATCAACTGCAATATAAATAGATAGGCAAAAACTAATATATCGGGGCAAATGTTCCTTCGTATTTTGTTTGTATAAAATTGAAAAAAAAATCTCTTTGGTTGTACTGTTTGTATAATACATACCGGGTGTTTGTGAAACGCTCCCGAAAATGAAGACAGACGATAGTACTAACTATACTTTTGATGATGGGTGAGAAATAAAATTGATCCTGAGGAAAAAAAATATATCTTTTCGCAACGTTTTATTACCTTTATTCATGCCCCATCATGTTGGTACAGCTAAATAAAACGATAATTTCATTAAAAAAAATCATGAAAATACTTAAACATTAAACCAGCAGTGAAATTTAAAATAAATAAGTCATAAAATCAGCTGACAATAAGGTCAATATTCTCGGCGACTTCGAACTCGTTATGTATCCAGCTCGGTGAGAAATAACGCCTACGTACTCTACCCTTCCCTTTCACACACGCGCTACCGCCGCCCAGCCGGCTCGTGTCGCCTCGCGCTGTGGAATTTACACATGTCAGCTTTGCCAACATGTGAGGGATTCCCAAAATTGTGGGGTATTTAAAGTTGGTTGGGGATTGGTATTATGCGGGGAAAATACGGGGATTTTGAAGGGCCAAGTCAGAAACTTTTTTCAAGAAATGTAAATACTTATCTTAACATTTTGTTAGGTTACTTATGAATATCGAATCACTCCCTTTTTTTAATTATCTTCATTGCACCTCATTTAATTTTCGAATTTATTTCGGCAACTTTTGTGTATCATTTAATGCTTTTCATTTCTTTATGTTTTAATTTTAAAGAAAAAAAATGTTAGTTAAAAGTAAATCTTATAAAATTTGATGAAAATTGATACATTTTTTTAAAATAAAATTGAGGGGAATTTGTAGAGAATATGTTAAGTTTTGTCCTTAAATTGGGGAATTTTACATGAATTTTCGGGGAATTTGACAAATTGGTGTTGGCAACGCTGCTATGTTGCACCGAAATTTAGTTTGCCGGCGACATAAGAATTAGAGGCGGTTTAGTTGGCAACTCCTCGGAAGGAAACACTCAGACAGCAGACTGTCTCTTAGAGTCAGGATCATCATAACAATAAATCCAGCTTTCGTCACCCATAAGTATGTCGAACACAGCATTTGAGTCACCTCCGTTAAATCTTTGAACCATTTCACGACACCAATTGACGGAGTTTTTGGGCCACCACGTTTAAACTCATTAAACGAGTTGTAAACAGTTGCACAAGAAGGGGCTTCATCGTGAAAGGCCAATCGAAGTCTATCATAACTTTCTTGTTGACTTAAATGACATCGAAAGCCATAAAAAAATCATTGTACGCAAATTTTCTCTCGTTAAATTCATGCTGACCTGACACAGACAATTTTCAATTTGTCGCCAAACCGTAAACAAATGACAAATTAATAAAACTTATTTTTTTTATTTTATCGTTTACAAGTGGCCAGTTCTAAAAACTTTCAGTGTCGCCCTCGTAGTGATGTACACCTTTGATTACCATAATAATTTCAATTTTTTTTTTAATTTCTGACTATTCTCTTAGGGTAGTTGTGGGTAATCGGAGTCAGGGTACTCCCATTGCCAGCAATTGATTATTACAAGTAAAGAATGTAGTATATTATGCCTATAGACTTACTTTACTACATGTTAGGAATATACTGTTTTTGTTTTGTAGATTCCGAATGTACGGGTCAGATTTACCGAAAATAATACCTGGTTTACCGATAGTTTGAAAAAAGCTGTTCAGCTTATTGATCAATATGGTTATTCCATACGAAAAGCTGTTATAACTATTGATATACCATTTACAAGTCTACAAAAGAGATGTAAAAAAATCTAGCTAGAGGCCACGTCTTGGATGACATACTATCTTCGGTTCCGAAGTTAAATACGAAATAGCAAATCTGGTGAAAAAGATGGCCAATATTTTTATTGATGTACTGCTATTCAAATAAGAAAATGGGGAAAGAAAAAAAGAAATGACAAGGTAAAGTGCAGAAGGAGAGCTTCGAAAGAGCAAAGAGGCAAGTTCTCTAGGAATTAAACGATACTTCGGTATCAAACCTCAACAGTAATAGTGAGGACGATGAGGATGATGTGCAGTAAGCAGCGAATTTGGAAGGAACAACGAGATGTAGTGGGTGAGACCCGGCCAAAGACTATGTCTTCTATAAGTGTTAAATTTTGTTTGACTCTGATTATCCACAGTGATATGGGGATCAAATCTGTTATTTTTTTAAACCATATTAATTTCCAAAGCCGATTGCTAAATTGATTAAAACTGAACTCAATTGTTTTAGCTACTAAATAAGTAGATTTTTTGTTATGCAGATAAAGATTTTATTCTGAAATAAACTTTTATTTGAATTCTCGTGTGTTGAATTCAAGTGACTTCCATTACCCTCTTTTACCCTCCTTTGAACCGCAGTGTTATCTGCGACAAAAATGAATTCTGTTTGACAATCGCAAGCGCTGAGCAAGTTGGTTGGATCCTGGCTTAGCGCCTAAACAATGCCGTAAACGAAAACTTACCACTAGAAAAGTGATGGTCACTGTTTGGTGGTCTAGTGACGGTGTGATTTATTACAGCTTCTTACCAAACGGTATGAGCATTACTGCAGATGTGTACTGTGAATAACTGTACACAATGATAGAGAAGCTCGCCCGTCTCCAACCAGCTTTGGTCAATCGTTTGTCCCCGCTGCTCCTGCACGACAACGGGCGACCTTATACTACACAAAATAATGTTTCATAGGTAAGGAACTAATATTATTTGATTGACTGATGAAGAGCTATCGTATCACAGAGCCATCTATGCAAACAAGGTTGTGGGTTTTATTTTTTTATATTTTTTTTTTACTTATTATAAGCCAGTGCTTGACCACAATCCCACCTGGTGGTAAGTGGTGATGTAGCCTTAGATGGTAAATCGCACTGTCTTATCGTAACAAAAGCCTATTCACTCTTGCCTTGAAGACGCCCAGATTGTAGATTCGGACGGAAAGATAGACGCCGGCAAATTATTCCACTCCTTTGCTGTACGCATTACAAAAGACGAAGCAAACCGTTTGGTTCTAATGCGTGGAATATCGACAACAAAGGGATGAAGACCCGCCGACCGTCTGGTTGTCCGATGGTGGAAAGGAGAGGGAGGAATTAAGGCGTGTAATTCCTGCGTACACACACCGAAATGCATCCTATAGAATACCGAGAGACTGGCTACTCTGCGCCTGTGCTCGAGGCTGACAAGGTTGGTTGGATTTATAATAAAGTAACCACATTTATTTATTTATTTAATTTTCAAGGGAAACATACATAATTTTAGTCTAATACATAACACATATTAATCTTACAATTAACAATAAAGTTTCCACAGTTATGTAACTCGCCGACAACAAGCGAACATCATGACATAGGTACTTTGGTGTGT